TCATCACGTAGATCCAAACATTGGCCTTCAGTAGATCTTTGCTGGACAGACGGTGGAGTCTGTGCCAGACACATGATGGTATGAGAGAGTTTGTTAACCTTGACATGACCTTGAGCTTCACAGATATGAAGCTAAAATGTTATTAAGAGAGAAGAATTAGTTTAGTTAAATTCCTTTTGGATGAAATTAAAAGGTCATTTCCTGTTTGGTTAGTTTCTCATTTAGGGCAGGCAGTTAGGATGCGAGGAAAAGCAGAGGAGGGCAGCTTCTATAACATGGAGGACGGGAGGTCAGTGCCAGATGGTAGACTGCCCTGCTGCAGGATGATTAATGGAGGCTGCTGCACAGCAGGCAGTAAGAGAACAATGTTTTCTCTGGATGGAGGTTGGAGTAAGGCAGGACCTGTCATTTAAATCCCAGATCAGAGACGTTTCTAGAATTTCCTTCTTTCATCTGAGGAATATTGCAAAAATGAGAAATCTCTATAGGCTTAGACTGCTGGAGGACATAGGGACCCCTTTTTCATCATTCTGCTTCATTCTATCTCTATTCTCCCACTCTGCAGAATCTGTTAGTTCAATCTCTAACGTTCTGCTCTCTCTGCTTTTTCTCATAGTAGCTTCATCTGGTCTGTTCCTGTTTGGCTGTGACTCCATCCTGGAGAGAAATATCAGCTGTGCTGCTGCCATCAACACCTTTGTTTCTAGATGTTGGAGCTTGGCCTGTTTTCCAGTGTAGTCCTGTTTCTCTGACTGTGACTAACTGGATGTGCTCTCTTCATCCTCTGACATGGGAGCTGGCTCGGAGCTCGTCTGCCTGGCTGTGTGTTTCCTGGACGGGGCCGCCTGTGGAGCTGGTTGACAGTTGCCTTTTGTATCTATGCTTCTTTTTCTATGTCTGCTTCTGTCTCCTTGAACCCCAGTGGGCCTCAGCAGATGGCCGCTCACACTGAGCCTGGTTCTGCTGGAAGTTTCTTCCTGTTCAAAGGGAGTTTTTCCTCTCCACTGTCGCTACAAGCATGCTTAGTGTGAGGGATTGCTGAAGAGTCAATGAGTCGATGCAATCAGCTGGTTTTCCTTAGATAGAAAACTTTGAATCAATCTGACTGGATGATCTGGTGAACTGGAAAGTGACCTGAGATGACATGATGTGAATTGGAGCTATAGAAATAGACTGAATAGAATTGGAAGGCAGTAAGAAGACAATGTTTTCTCTGGATTGGTATTATTCCTTACTAGTGAACTAGATTGAATGGGGGTTCCTCCTTTCTGGTGAATCAGGTTGAGGGGGATTATTCCTTCCTGTTGAATCAGGTTGAGGGGGATTATTCCTTCCTGGTGAACCAGGATGAGGGGGATTATTCCTTCCTGTTGAACCAGGTTGAGGGGGATTATTCCTTCCTGGTGAACCAGGATGAGGGGGATTATTCCTTCCTGGTGAACCAGGATGAGGGGGATTATTCCTTCCTGTTGAACCAGGTTGAGGGGGATTATTCCTTCCTGGTGAACCAGGATGAGGGGGATTATTCCTTCCAGGTGAACCAGGATGAGGGGGATTATTCCTTCCTGGTGAACCAGGTTGAGGGGGATTATTCCTTCCTGGTGAACCAGGTTGAGGGGGATTATTACTTCCTGGTGAATCAGGTTGAGGGGGATTATTCCTTCCAGGTGAACCAGGATGAGGGGGATTATTCCTTCCTGGTGAACCAGGTTGAGGGGGATTATTCCTTCCTGTTGAACCAGGTTGAGGGGGATTATTCCTTCCTGGTGAACCAGGTTGAGGGGGATTATTCCTTCCTGGTGAACCAGGTTGAGGGGGATTATTCCTTCCTGGTGAACCAGGTTGAGGGGGATTATTCCTTCCTGGTGAACCAGGTTGAGGGGGATTATTCCTTCCTTGTGAACCAGGTTGAGGGGGATTATTCCTTCCAGGTGAACCAGGTTGAGGGGGATTATTCCTTCCTGGTGAACCAGGTTGAGGGGGATTATTCCTTCCTGTTGAACCAGGTTGAGGGGGATTATTCCTTCCTGGTGAACCAGGTTGAGGGGGATTATTCCTTCCAGGTGAACCAGGTTGAGGGGGATTATTCCTTTCTGGTGAACCAGGTTGAGGGGGATTATTCCTTCCAGGTGAACCAGGTTGAGGGGGATTATTCCTTCCAGGTGAACCAGGTTGAGGGGGATTATTCCTTCCAGGTGAACCAGGTTGAGGGGGATTATTCCCTCCAGGTGAACCAGGTTGAGGGGGATTATTCCTTCCTGGTGAATCAGGTTGAGGGGGATTATTCCTTCCAGGTGAACCAGTTTGAGGGGGATTATTCCTTCCTGGTGAACCAGGTTGAGGGGGATTATTCCTTCCTGGTGAACCAGGTTGAGGGGGATTATTCCTTCCTGGTGAACCAGGTTGAGGGGGATTATTCCCTCCTGGTGAACCAGGTTGAGGGGGATTATTCCTTCCTGCCAGCTCCTATAGTGACTGACTGAGGAGATTTCATATTCATCTGTTGGGGGTTCAGTTAACCAGGGAAGGAGAAGCAATCAGCCGACTCTGCTGCTCAGCTTCTCCTTGCATTTTAATTTGCAGCAGAGGTTCTGCCTGTAGCGCTGTCACTCAGGGCCCCCCTCCACCTTTATCTGTGCCCCCTCCAATTTGGTGTTACCTTGTCACCATGGCGATCGATGTGCCTCGGTAATGGCTGCCTGGAGAGCGGGGGCTCTGAGTGATGGAGCGTTGGTGCCAGCTTAATTCACTTCCACTGGGATCCTCGGCACCCCACCGCTCCTGCTCCTACCCCCACCCCCACCCCGAGCATAAATAACAACAAGCCAATTAAAACATTCAAGCTGCCTTTGTTTACACGCAGCGTCCATAATGCATATTCATTCTGCTCTCTATAAGACCATCATGCATTATAGATCAAACAATGTTTGCAGTGAAAGAAAGTTTTCTTTTTCCCAGCTGAGACTGGATGGAGACGTCCACTGCGCCTCAGTAACAGCAAATTACCATTAAAGATTTCAATTTTCTCCCTGTCACTTCACGTTTAAGTCAGAAGCTAATTTGCTCGCCTCGTGGCGAAGGGGATCAATAGATGGATTGGAGAGTGAAGGGAAGGTCGGGGTAATGCTAAAGAAAGGCTTTCGCAGAGTAAAAGAATCACCTAGGGGCCTCAGAACCACGGGACAGGGCCCGGCGTCCGGCTCTAAAGTGGATCTCTGAGATCATACAACCATTTCTGGACAATGTCACCAAAAAACTGTTTAACTTGGAAAATAAAGATATCTGAAATTTTATTTCTAAATTTGAACTAAAACAGGTATTCTAAAACTGCAGATATATTAAACCTTCAGTTCTCCAGGGGCCCCTGTTATGGCCCCTCTACTGAAAACATCGAGCTAAGTCAGTTTCAACCAAAACTGATGGGACCCTCTGACCAAGTTCCTTTTTCATCTTTACATTTTTACGTTAAAAACATCAAAATAAGGTGTTTGAGGCCAGGCGCTAATTTGTTTTAGGTGCTAGGTTAAGCTAGCGCTAAAGGTGTTTTAGATGCTAGGTGAAACAATGGCTAAAAGTGTTTGAGCCAGGAGTTAATGTGTTTTAGGATCTAGCTTAAGCTATGGATAAAGGTGTTTGAGGCAGGTGCTAATGTGTTTTAGGATCTAGCTTAAACTACGCATAAAGGTGTTTGAGCCAGGCGCTAATGTGTTTTTGGTGCTAGCTTAAGCTACAGATAAAGGTATTTAGGCCAGGCGCTAATGTGTTTTTGGTGCTAGCTTAAGCTACGGATAAAGGTATTTAGGCCAGGCGCTAATGTGTTTTTGGTGCTAGCTTAAGCTACGGATAAAGGTATTTAGGCCAGGCGCTAATGTGTTTTTGGTGCCAGCTAAAGCTACAGATAAAGGTATTTAGGCAAGGCGCTAATGTGTTTTTGGTGCTAGCTTAAGCTACGGCTAAAGGTATTTAGGCCAGGCGCTAATGGGTTTTTGGTGCTAGCTTAAGCTACGGCTAAAGGTGTTTGAGCCAGGAGCTAATGTGTTTTTGGTGCTAATGTGTTGTAGGTGCTTTAAAGTTTCAACCCAGACTAGATTCAATGCCAGCAAACAATCCATTCTTTTCTTTCATTTATTCTTTTATTTTTTAGAAAATACTGTGATATTTTATTAAAAATGTTGCAGAAAAAGTTTGTACAGGGGTCCAGCCAGAAATAGGTCTATTATCACTTAAGGCAAAACTGCAAAGAAATAAGACAAACAAAGGATTTTAAAACTACCATAAAAACCCTTGTTATCCTGACCGGTTTCTGGACCAAATGACAAGAATATACTTTTTTTTATACAATTTATAAATGCAGCGGATTTTTTTCTTCTGAAATGTAAAGGGTGATCATTTCCTTATTTAGCTTTTATAATAATATTAATATTTACACTCATTCACTTGCTTCTGTAAACCAAAATATCACAAGTCCGGCACAATATTTTACATATTGCTAGCATTTGACAATTTGAAATATCTAACATAGATGCCTTTACAAACAGATCCAACTAATATAGATACAAAACATCACTGCCTGTTTTTATTCCTAAGGAACACACTGCTGGTTACATGGTAATGTCAGGCAGAGCCGAGGCTGCGAGACGGAAACCAAAGAAGAAGAAAAGCAACGGAAGCAGAAGAGGATGAGACCCAGTCGGCATGGAAACGCCGAGATCTTCTCTGGACCGTTAAAGTGTGAACATCGAGCAAAACACACAAGACTGTAGTGAATATGATTAACCCAAGACGTCTGCACCCATGGATTGTGTTCGCGTTTTGGTCATTCTGACAAAATGAATGAAACAAAACATTATTTTTTTTTTTATATATATATATATGTATTTATACACGGAAACCAAAAGAACAAGTCAAACCCCCAAAAAGACCAAAAGAAAAAAAAAAACATCCCAGCCAAAATAAAATAATAGAAAGATCTCTTAGTTTTTCAGTCTTTTTTTTTAAACTTTTTTTTTATTTGCACGCATTATTATATTCCCTTTTGTTTATCTTTTGTTTTTTTGCAAAGTTTTTATAAATACATGTGAGGCTGGGTGTAGAATTCGGTGTCCTATGCAGGAAGGGTTTGGAAAAGACGAAGCTGTTGTTACCTTCCTTCTGGTATCTAGCAGGATGTTAGCAGGTGCTAACCTTCTGCTTAGCTCTGCTTTAAAAAGAGTCACTCGTTTCACATTCATTCTGAATTTCTTACAAAGTTTAAGAGCAACGCTCCTTTTTATACCCTTCAAGAATAACAAAATATCATCTTCATACGGTGTAATGTTCCCCGTATTTGCTTGGTGTCAGATTTGCGGACCCTGCTCAGCTATACCCGCGTCGTCGAGTGGCCGTGCGGCAGATTTGTACTGTTCTGGCTCCCGCCAAAAGTGTTGAAGTTGTGCAGAGGCTGCATGCCAGCCAGGGAGTTGGGGATCATGGTGATAGTGCTGGGCGTCATCAGCGGGACATCGTCGGGGGACCGGCGCAGAGTGAGCGTGTAGTCGGGGGGACATGTGAGCCGCAGCGTGTCGTGGCTCTGCAGCGACTCGCACTCATGGTGGTGCTCTTGCTCCAACTGCTGCTGCTTCATTTGTAAGGTCATCAACTCCTCGCTCTGCATGTGGGCCACGTCGTTAGCCGTGGTCGAAGTGTTGGCCGGTGCGGAGTTGCGCTGCGGGGTGGGAATGCGGCGGTTGGACTCGTGCCGCCGCTTGTCTTTCTTGTAGTAGAGTGCTGCAAAGGCTAGGATGTTGAGGAAGAGCAGGGAGGCCCCCACGGCAATGGTGACGCTGAGCTCGGTGGAGTAGTCCCTCTTGGTCTCGATCATGATGGTGGATTCCTCTGCCAGGTCTCCGCTCTTGTGTTGATCTGTGGATTGCTTGGTGTTGGCAGAAGGGACTCCCGGGTGGCGTGTGGTGGACGGCCAATTGTTCTTCCCCGGGAAGCGTTTGGTGTAAGGGTACGGCGTGGTGTCCTGCGGAGGAATCTTCGTGGTAGTGGATACATACTGGAAAAACTCATTGATGTTGTGGAGATGTGGAACCAGTTCCAGCCAGAATGCGACCTTGGTGGCGCGGTAGTGGTCCCGAACCCTGGGTTTCAGGCCGATGTGAAGGTAGAGCTGGTCTTTGGGGTTGTACTTAGTCCAGGCTACTTCCTCGAATCGGTTAGGCTTGGTGTGGATGAACTTCGTATCCTGTGGAACCGGTTGGTTTGGATCCCTGAAACAGATGAAAACAAAATAGTTTTAATTCAACACATTTTGTATTTACTGACACAATGACAGAGCTCTGGAATGTTCCAACAGCAGTTAACTTCGGCTAATAGGGGGTGTCGGTTTATGATGGTTTCGTCTACAGAACCTCAAGACAACCATTCCCACTAGGACACCACTCCCACTGGGTAACCACACCCCCAGACCACCATTCCCACTAGGACACCACTCCCACTGTGTAACCACCCACCCTGGCCCACCACTCCCACTAGCCACCACTGCCTCTAGACCACCACTCCCCGTGGGCCACCACTCCCACTAGACCGCCACTCCCTCTAGACCACCATTCCCACTAGGACACCACTCCTACTGTGTAACCACACCCCCAGACCACCACTCCCATTAGGCCACCACATCCTTAGTCAACTACTCCCACTAGGCCGCCACTCCCACTAGCCACCACTCCCTCTAGGCCGTCGCTCCCACTAGACCACCACTCCCTTAGTCTACTACTCCCACTAGGCTGCCACTTCCTTAGTCCACTACTCCCACTAGGCCGCCACTCCCTCTAGACCACCATTCCCACTAGGACACCACTCCCACTAGGACACCACTCCCACTAGGTAACCACACCTCCTGGGCCACCACTCCCACTAGCCACCACTCCCTCTAGGCCATCGCTCCCACTAGACCACCACTCCCTTAGTCTACTACTCCCACTAGGCCCCCACTCCCATTAGACCACCACTCCCACTAGACCACCATTTCCTTTAGTCCACTACTCCCATTAGACCACCACTCCCACTAGACCACCATTTCCTTTAGTCCACTACTCCCACTAGGCCACCACTCCCACTAGGACACCACTCCTGCTAGGCCGCCACTCCCACTAGACCACCACTCCCACTAGGCCATCGCTCCCATTAGACCACCACTCCCTTAGTCCACTACTCCCACTAGGCCGCCACTCCCACTAGACCACCACTCCCACTAGGCCCCCACTCCCATTAGACCACCACTCCCACTAGACCACCATTTCCTTTAGTCCACTACTCCCACTAGGCAACTACTCCTCCCAGGACCCACTCCCACTAGGCCGCCAGTCCCACTAGACCACCACTCCCACTAGGACATCGCTCCCATTAGACCACCACTCCCTTAGTCTACTAATCCCACTAGGCAACTACTCCTCCCAGGACCCACTCCCACTAGGCTGCCACTCCCACTAGACCACCACTCCCACTAGGACATCGCTCCCATTAGACCACCACTCCCTTAGTCTACTAATCCCACTAGGCAACTACTCCTCCCAGGACACCACTCCCACTAGGCTGCCACTCCCACTAGGCCACCACTCCCACTAGGACACCACTCCTGCTAGGCCGCCACTCCCACTAGACCACCACTCCCACTAGGCCATCGCTCCCATTAGACCACCACTCCCTTAGTCCACTACTCCCACTAGGCCGCCACTCCCACTAGACCACCACTCCCACTAGGCCCCCACTCCCATTAGACCACCACTCCCACTAGACCACCATTTCCTTTAGTCCACTACTCCCACTAGGCAACTACTCCTCCCAGGACCCACTCCCACTAGGCCGCCAGTCCCACTAGACCACCACTCCCACTAGGACATCGCTCCCATTAGACCACCACTCCCTTAGTCTACTAATCCCACTAGGCAACTACTCCTCCCAGGACCCACTCCCACTAGGCTGCCACTCCCACTAGACCACCACTCCCACTAGGACATCGCTCCCATTAGACCACCACTCCCTTAGTCTACTAATCCCACTAGGCAACTACTCCTCCCAGGACACCACTCCCACTAGGCTGCCACTCCCACTAGACCACCACTCCCACTAGGCCCCCACTCCCATTAGACCACCACTCCCACTAGACCACCATTTCCTTAGTCCACTACTCCCACTAGGCAACTACTCCTCCCAGGACCCACTCCCACTAGGCTGCCACTCCCACTAGGCCACCACTGCCCCTCAATATATCAAACAATGTACATGTATATAATTAAACAATATGATAAAGACAAGGTAAACAGGCAAAAATTGGGAGAAGGATCCAAGGGGCCCTTGATGAACAGGGGCCCCCAATACATGTATAACGACCTGGGAGTTTTAGAGGTAGGTTAAATGTATTTAGGGCTACAGCAGGGACAGATGAGTACTGGTCGTAAAATCCCCCTTTCCTTTGATGTTTTTGGTGACATCAGCAACAAATGAGAGGCAACCTAAAAATAAGACTAAGACACTTTATTGGTCATTGCAAACAAAAACTGAATCCCTTCCTTAGGGGCCATGTGGGGCCAAAGTCCGTCTAAGAGGGGTTTGAACCATGCTCCGACCCCTAGATCACCGCTGCCCTGTTGTGATTGATTATGCAATGACTAAATGATGAATACAGTGCCATCAAAAACAGCAGAGTCAGTGGAAGCCATGATCAGTGCAGGATGAAGCTGAAAGCTGATAAATCAGGAAAGCTCCCTCTGCAGCAGGTACCGTTCGGCTTCCTGAGCTCTAATTTGGGTCAGGTCCAGCTGAGTCATTAATCTGTCTGTTTGAAGCTAATGTGGATCTAAGTGACTTGGGCTTCAAAGGCATCCTGCAGGTCCTTTGTAGGCCCTCAGAGGCTCCAGTCATGTCCATTTCCATAGGACTGGTACCAGTCCTGAGAGAGATTAGACTGGGTCTGTTCAGAATAGCAGAGTTTCCGGTTCTCCTTTAATCTGGTGATGGAGCATTACACCATGAGTCCGTGTCCTATCCATGGCAGGATGGACTGACTGGGGGAGCTGGGGATCATCAGGGGGGTACCTGGACATGTTTCCATTGATTTATGGGGGAAAAAAATATTTAAAAAGAAATAAAACTATAAAATAAAGACATCTCATTTCCTTTAAAGTGAAAATTGCAATGTTTTAACCCACCCCTAACCGTATAGTTTGTAGATTTAAACCTGATCCTGAGTCTAAAGAGTGAGCCCATAGCTTCCTATGGAGCCTCAGCTTCGCTCAGTTGAAGGTCAGTGGATGGGCGGAGCCAGCAGCCATTAGCTGAAAGCTGGGAAACGCCACCATTTCCCCTCCAGATCAGATTCATGATCAGGTTTGGTCAGGATGAGAAAATCCATGGAATTACATTAATGGATGCAGGGAAATGTTCCTCCGAGGCTCCAGGTCAGAAATGATGTTTCAGTCAAATGAGACACTTGAACTCCTCATGAGGTCTAGAGTCTGATTCTGGATTCGGAACGTCCTTCACACGGTGCTTTGGCCATGATGGGAATCTTCCTTTGATTTCAGAGAAATCCAAATGTCAGAGAAAAAAGATCTCTCAGGTCGTTTTTCTCTGACTGAGGAAACTTTGATTTCCATCTTTCCAAGCCTTCAGTTTTCAGCTTTCATAAAATCTGACAAACACCAGATTCTCTTGTCTGGGAATCTTTTCACTCCACATTCCAGCAAACACTCAGTCCACTTTGCAGGAAATGCTCGATCCACTTTGCAGGAAACAGTCAGTCCACTTTCATGGAAACGTTCGATCCACTTTCATGGAAACACTTGATCCAATTTCCAGGAAAGAGTGAGCCAGGAGCAGAACCGGACCAGAACATTCCAGTCTGCTGCGGATTCCTCCCTGCTGACCCGTCGGTCTGCTGCAGGTTGTGTTTTACCGAGGCTCCTAACAAGGCAGTGGACAGATGGAGGCAGAGCTGACGGCAGACTTGACGCAAAGTAATTACTCTCCAGAGATGGTCCACTGATTCTCCACAGCACAGGAATAAAACCTCCATTTAAATCTGAGAACAGTGGAGCAGACTTCAACAGTGAGTGGAAACAATCACCCAGTCCACTGGAGCCTCTTTAAACCATGCTTGGCCGTTTCATTAGCCTGTTTAGAAATCATGGCGTTTGCTTTGTGCTGATGGCCCTGAATGTTTTCACCTCTCCAAGTGAACTCCATCAGACTTGGAAAATAAATAAATGTTCTTTCTAAAACCAGACTTAAATGTTGACCTTCATCTAGAACATAGAGAGTTTGTCCTTTAAGAGTTGGATTGCATTTCTAGGTTTAGCAGCGAATCAGGAAAGCCTGCAGAAACTTCAAAACATAAAACATGGCCGCTTTGCTCCGATCAGGTTAATGCCCGCTTGGTCCCGTTTAAAGCTGCAGCCGTGCCTCTTTAGAGGGGGGGTGGGGGACAGTCACCCAGCCAGGCTGGCCCTCCAGCTGGTAGCTGCAGATGGAAGCATGGCTGGCATGCGGTTAGATGTCCCCAAAGGGCCGCCATCGCTGTATAACATATGTTAGAGCAGTCATCACCTCCTGCTCTGAATGACTCCTAGATAGAAGGAGCAGAAAATACTCCTCCACCTGTTTACCCAGTTCCACTCCGTCCTCTGCCTGTGGTGTTAACGTCAGGTAAACATCATTCATCAACTCTAGATCCTCCTTCTGACAGCTATTGAAGACCCACTCACAGTATTTAAATGGAGGAAACATTTTTTAACTCTTCTAGATTTCTGAACTCTGTGCCTCCATGTTTGCTCTTCCTGTTCCCTCGGCAGCTCGTTGCTCTGCTGTTCTGGTTATTAAATAAACTGATCAGCACCATCAGTCTAAAGAAGGTCTAAAAATCAGGATTGCTGATTTTTAGACCTGAATAAAGGTGCTGTAAACTTTCTCTGATTTGTACAAAAAGAATGGATGGGGCCAGCTTCTATAGGTAAAGTCCGGCCCCTTAGATGGACAACGGCGCTAGAGGGTAGGCTCTGGCCCCAGAGGGTAGGCTCCAGCCCTTTAGATGGACACCGGCCCCATAGGGCAGGCTCCGGCCCCAAAGCGTAGGCTTGGGCCCTTTAGATGGACACGGGTCCAATAGGGTAGGCTCCGGCCCTTTAGATGGACACTGGCCCGATAGGGCAGGCTACGGCCCCAAAGGGTAGTATCCGGCCCTTTAGATGGACACTGGCCCCATAGGGTAGGC